AAAAACCTTTTTTAGTTTCGTAGAAATCCTTTTTTATTTAGAGTGTAATATGCTTTAAATACATTAATATTCATTAATAACCATCTGCACATTATTTAGGAATTATTTTTGACAAACAACTACGTTGGAGAGAACATGCAAAACATGTCGAAACATGAACTCAATCTCGCATAAACTTACTTTGATACTTAAATATGATTACTACAGATTCAAATGAAAAGATCATGTTAAATATATGTAAGTCTCTCATCTGACCAATTTTAACCTATGGTTCTTCGATTCTCTTATATGATGAAGATAAAATTTGGAATCGATTAAAGATTATTCAAAATAAATCAATTCGAGCAGCACTTAATGTACCTCATTTTACTTCAACTACATATATACATCAAATAACCAACATGCCACATATTCGTTCATATATCACAGCTTTTACTGAAAGGGCACTCATAAGAAGTCACCAATTGGAAGATACAGTAACAGAAAAAAATTTAATCTCTTCTATCCTTGAAAAAGTTGTAACATGGCTTTCCTCTATTCCTTCAAATTCTTCTATCCCTGATTTTGATAAATCAGATATTCAACTTCTGCAGTATTTCCCTGAAACATTTTGTTAAACTTGTCCGTTATTTTCTATATACTGTTTTTTGTTGTTTCTTGTGTTTTCTTTTTTGCTTTATTATTATTATTTGTATTTTTTTCGCTTTCTTCTTCTAAACCTATCTCGTACTGTTAGGATCGTCTGATCACAGTTATATAAGCATAATAAAAAAAAATTTAATCTCTTTACTCGATTGAACACAATGAGATAGATGCAAGATTATATTACATTTTTTCTTTTTTCGGTTTTTTCTTTATTATTATCGTTTTTGTTTTTTTTGTTGAAAGCAAAAGACCTGTGTGTCAAGAGCTTTTTCTTCTTCAAGGTTAATTAATAAATAAACCTGTTATCACCTCATTCATTAACATACATTAAAATACATCAATCCTCTGGTTACGGGGCACGCATATATACTTGTTGAACTTTTACACGCATTATCGTCTTTATAATATTATTTAGGCTCCATCACAGAGACTCCTGTCTTTTTCTCTTACATTGGCAACATTATTGCATCGTCGTGTCATATAGTTATGTGTATATAAATGCGCTGTTCTTTGCGTTTCGACGGGTCTGCTTCTCAGATTCTACTTTGTACTAGTATGTTTTAATGTATTGTCTTTCTTTCTTTTTTCAATGTGTTCTCTAATATAAATAAAAACTGCCTATTCTAAACAAGAAGCGACGAGTTCATGAGGAGTCTGATTTCGCGGCTAATTCAAAAACTAGACATTTTAGTCCCAGCATAACGTCAGCTATTACATATACAATATTGCACTCAATATACCGACATCGACGACACAGCGGTATAGAGGTATAGGATAGTGATATAATGACATAGAGGTATAGTAATATAGGATAGTGATATAGACATATACGATAATGGTATCGAGCTATAAGATGGTGGCAGCACGAAGTTTGTTATCATTCGAATAGTCACGCATATTATTAAGCTCAAGGCCTACTGTGTACATCTTTGCCATACCTCTATTCATCTATACAATTAGGATCTTTCAGTTCTCATTTTGTGACAATTGCATTTTACTTTTAAGAAGAGTATTTTGCCACAAATTCAGATTCCCATCATATGGAAGCGATTTATATCTTTCGATATACATATTCTTGCAATGCCAAAATCAATCCTTATTATTCTTCATGTATCTTTTCTACATAACGATTTATTATTCATATCTATTATGTAAAATTATTCGGTGAATATGGCAGCATCTACTAATAATGAGCGGCACGAACATATTTCTACATATTCATCATCATTATCGCCTCGATTGTTATCACCTTCATTAGGTAATTAACGAAAAGAATATTATTTCTTATTTATAAAAACCTTTGTAGATGGCTCTTGATCATTGAATAAATCAGAAGAGAATATTTCTTCCGCTTTATTTGAATCATCTGTGGTAGTGTCATCATCAAGTGAACGACGTCAGGAACAAACTTCTTTATCTTCACTAAAATCTCCTCGATTATCATCATCTTCATCAGTTAAGTAAGAAGAATATGACACATTTACATTCACTGAGACATCCTAATCTGATTTTTTCCTAAATAAGCAACAATACATAACAATTTTTATATTTTATTAGGGGTTTCTCATTTATCATCACCATTATCATCAACTAAACAACAAGAAAAAGCTTCATCTTTATTATCATCTGATGTAATACCAGCCGAAATTAAGTCATCTTCATTCATATATTCTGCATCATCTGATGAACCAACATCAAATCCTTCTGACCTTAGTGCTTTCCCTAATGAACTTCCGACACAACCGAAACGTGCTACTTATCCATTGAACACAGAAAAAAGATATTTTTAAATTCAATGGTTCTCACAATACCATTCTTTAGAATACTCGACACTTATGGATTTCGTTTATTATTGGGTAGGCGTAGGTGTTCTGTCTTTATCTAGATACGTAATCACCCGCACCCGCCTCCATACCTACATCCATCCACCCACCTTGAAGATCGTAACGGTTGTGTGAATTAGGTACACACAAAGACCATTGGCCCAAAGAAATTGTTAATATTACAGATACACTAAAAGCGAAAACGAATATATCATTTTGTGAACAGAAAACATCTCGTTTCACATTAGAATATTTTGATCCAAA